TCCTGTCTCACCTTCCCAGCTCCCCTTCACCTGGCACTTGTTAGCAGCTCTCCAAAATACATCTTGTGGTCTCAGCCCCTAGTGGGATGAGACTTTGAAGCAAAGTAACTGGGTAGCTGACTGTGCTTTTTCTTTTCAGCCCATGACTGTGCATTGAACCTGCTCTTACTCCTCAGCGAAATGTACCTGAGATGCCTCCTTGCTCACCTTAGTGAGGCTGGCAAGCCCTCCTGCATCTCCCTCGATGTCTTATTTCCAGCCAGGAGGGTTTCTGCTGGCAGATATTGTCCCCAGCTAATTCGTAACAGGGTTCAAGTTGATGCTTTGCCTGTATCGTGCTGTGAGCAACACAAGTTTGCTTGTGTTTTGGGATCCTGTTGCTGCTGGAAAGCAGCTTGGATCACCAAGGGACATCTCTTTATTACTGAAATACTGACATCCTTTATCCCTCTCTTTGTAACTTGGTTCTTGTGCACTTCGCATGACTGACTGAGCACCTCTGCCACGGTTTCTCCACAGATGTAGTGGTACTTGCTGCAGCTTTGCTAGAATGGAAAACTGCATTATCAGTCCTGGGCCTTACTAGCGATAAAATCCCATCCCGAAATGTCAGATCTAATACTCCCCTCTGTCCCAATCTTTTCCTCAGTCCCTGAAAAATGTCTGTTAGGACAAAGTAGGATTTGGAAAATTGCTCCATTTGAGAAGATGGGCAGGAAAATATTTCTCCATCCAGCCTGGCTTGCTTCTGTTTTTTCCCTGCCTTTTGGGGAGACAGGGAGACTGGTGAAGGGAATAGAGCAGGAAAGCTGAAAGTAAATAGACCTGTTCAAAATTAAATGTAACTGTGCTTTAAAAGGGATCAAACTGAAATGAAGTATTTGTGAGTTATTGAACAAAATGTTTGGATTGTCCCAAAGCAGGATCATTCTGGTTTTTAATTCACATCTCTTGAGCATGCCTAAGAATTGCCATAATTTGGTAAGGGTTAATTCTAAGATTACAAATAAGAAAATGCCAGTTGCACAAAGGAGAAACCTTATTCATCTTAGTTACTACTGGTCTGTGTAGGGCTAATGACAATGGGGATATGCCCAGCTCCTCCTTGAAGCATTGGATGCAGGACCAAGCATAGACCCCCTGGAAGAGGCACAGCAGCCCTGCAGAGCAAGAAGTGTTTCTCTCCAGGGCTATATCCCCGAGGAGGATGTTTATTAATGTGCTGCTCTGAGCCATATAAATAAACTTTAAGCTGAGAATGAAAGGGAAGAGGCTGCAGTATCCTATTCTAATAGTGGAAGTTTTGCAAGAGACTGATGGAGCTGAGATTAGACCTTTGATCTCCTTGCTCTTGGTATTAGTGCCCTCTGGCTCCATCAAATCTAGGCTGATCTAAAAGTTAGAGGGAAACATGTGCAAAGACCTAGCAAGTGGTGTTAAAGCTATCAAGTTTAGCACATCCTTATCCTTAGCAGCAACACCAGGACCAGGAAAAGGGGTTTTGCTAAACCTTTTCTACTAAGCATCGGCTTTGTGGTTGTATGACTTAAATGGATGATGTGGAAAGTGTTTTCCTGATAGCAGGGTGACTAACAATGGTGCAGAATTTCCCAAAAGAGAAAGGATGTCTTAAGCTAATACTAACCGAAGCCCTCAATCCCACATAAATGTTTAACCACAGGCACTATCCCGATTGCCTAATAGCCTAATTCAGTGTACTCTGTTGATCCTTGAGCATGGTCTAGTTGTGTACAGGCGCTCAACTATCCAGTCTTGGGTTTCTCCAAAACCTGTTTGATTTGTGAGATAAAGTGTAAGATACTATTATCTAATGGTAGGATTTTGTTGGAGCCTCAAAAAGAGATGATAAAAAGGGTATGTGATGAGCCAGTTGTTTTGTTGATTTTAAGACAAACGATAGGAAAAGTAAAACCACAATTTACCTGAGGGTTTCTTAAGCCGGAGGTGGATAATGATTTCCTATTACATTCTAAGATCTTAGATATCCGTGTCCCTGTTCAGTGGATGCTCTATCCCACATTGCCCTCTAGCGAGAACACTGCAGGGCAGATAAAGCTTGCAGCCATCAGTATATGAAATGTGGTGTTTTGATAACTGAGGACACGGTTTGCTCCTGAAGTGGTGGTTTGCCATGCGGTGCAGACAGTGAGGAGGGGCAGCATTCATCTGTCGCTGATGCAAGTACCTGCACTGGCCACAGCTTTCTTGGTGTTTGCTTTTTGTTAGAGCTAACTGCATCTGCCAGCATCTCCATGCTGCTGCTGCATCACCAGCCAAAGGTCCCTGTCCTCTTCTGCTTTGGAAAAAGGGGAAAATATTCCCTGGAGTCTTTTTAATGCAGGATGATCTTTCCCTGTGTTTTTTGCCTTATCCTTTGCTCCATGAAGCACACTTCAGTTCTGTGGTTTAGCCTGTATATACATGATCTGGCAACCTGCCTGTGGCGTAGAAATCATCACAGGACAAGCTTCTGTCCCTCTTCCACACAACATTGATACATCCAAAGCATGGGCTCTGTTTGCCACTGCCCCAGGGACTATTCCAGCCAATACAAGGCCCACTGTGTCCTTACATGCTTGACCAGAATTACATAGAAACTCATAATTAATGTTCAGTTACTAAAGATTACCGTGGTCTTTGATTGTCAGCTTGTTCATCAGGGTAATAGCCATGGCCATCTCTGCTAGATGCTGTCTGTTTAAACTTCCGGACTAAAAACTTTGCTCTGATTTCCTGCGTGCAAACAGCCAGAGGGCACAGCCTGGTTGCACATATGGCAGATACATGGGTGAGGACAGCACCCTGCCATCAGTGAGATCCTCCTGGGGCTGTAGGACCCAAGTACCAGGATTGATAGTGTCTGGGGAGCTGGGATGGGCTGCACACCCCCAGCCTGCTCCACATGGCTCTTGTGGGATGAATGTCAAACACTGATGCCATCTAGTGACAAAAAAGATGCAATATGGGTATTGTATGAAATGCTGCTGGAAATGTTATAGACCCAAGCGGGGTAAGCTTTGGGGCTGGGAAGGAGGGAGGTGGTGCTGGGGAGATAAATCCCTTTCCTTGGTTCCTCAACCTGTCTCTTCCCTCTTTTCACATCCCACAACATGGGACTGGTGTCTCCGAGAGGCTTCACGTATTCCCGCAGCAAGGCATGGGCTTCTCAAGCAGCTCTGTTGATTGAGGAGCACAGATTCCCCAACTTACTGCTGGATCATGGAGCAAAACCACAGTGTCCTGGGATAAGGTGACTGCAGGAGGGGAGGTGGCTTGCTTCACTGCTGACCTGGACCTCATGGCAGAGACCCTGGGGACTAATTCAAGCTGGCAGCATGGGCTATGATGCAGTGCCATTGCTGCAGCTTTGAGTTTATCAGGCACAGGGCACTGTCTGACAGCAGCGACCTCTTACTGCAGCTGATACAACCTGACACTATTTTCCTTCCACCACCTTTGCTTCTCCCTCTTGTTTCTGTAGGTGATGGCTGTGAAGACTTTAATGTGCTGGGTTTCTGTATGAGTGGCTGGCTGGAGACACCGTTGCTTTGTAGCTAGTTATTAATCCAGCCAAGTCACGGTGCCACAAACTTAGAGGAATTAGTTTGCACTCTGCATTTGAAAAATGAAGGTGAAGTTATTTATCACCATACCACCTTATCCCACTTGGCTAAACTGTCCCCAGAGGGAAAGGTTTGCCTTGCACAGGGCTCGTGGTCTCCTGGGAATATTTCACATGTCTGATCATTTATCCAACTCCTGAGAAATGCACAGAGATAGAACTTGGAAATTAAGTTTCCAGTTAAGGAACCTGAGGGCTGAGATGGCTGTGATGGAGTGCATTATGAATGCACTGAGATGCCAGGCAGCATCCTCTGGGGAGATTTGGATGTGGGCTGTACCCTGCTGTCAAAGCAGAGCAAGCAAAGCATCCAGATGTGAATAAGCTCCTTCAGAAGCCATTTCTGAAGTGCAGTGACACCAAGAGTTATGCCAGCACAGGCTGCTACATCACTGTGAAGGTCCTGAAGAGCTGTGCCCCCTGAGCGGGTTCAGCAGTTCTCTGCTCCAGAGCAAACAAACAGGCGCTTGCTCTGCTCCACGCTGCTCAGACTTGCCCCTGCTCCCTTCAGAAAGCCATTTACAAGTGTCCTTGGGGACTTCTTGTCGGTTTTCCATCCCAAATGTGAAGGTACCAACTATGTTCCTATTGTCTAATTTACAAATGTTTTGTGTTATCTTTGTTGCTGCTTTTTCTGGATTATCCTTGTGTCCTCCTGCCTTTCTGCCCTGGATAATTGAGAGCTGGCAGTGTGCCTGTAGCATTCTTGTTTCAGGGCCAAAATGGGAGTGAGAATAAATGCTTCTAAATATTGTATGGAAGCAAATAAGTCATTTACTCATAGTAGCTGTTTGCCTGGTGTTACACTGACAATTTCACATGGGTTTTGCAGGAGGAGTGAGCAGTTGTGAGAGGATGGAAGAGCCATGCCTCTTGGGGAGTGTTTGCCGCGTGGGTACTGTGGGGAGGAGGGCTTCATGGCTATGAAAGAGTGCTTTTACCTCTGTAAAGGGACTTTATCCGTCAGTCTGTGACAATGCAGCATTTCATAGATTGGCTGGCCCTGAATTCTGAAAATAACCCTGTCTACCAGGAATTTAGCTGGAGGTGGCAAAGGTAAAGACTTTCCCGTGGGAGCTGCTTTACCTTGTGCTTTCCAAGCAGCCAAAACATGGTATATATGCACAGTGTCTTCCCAGCTCAATAGAGTTTCAGCATTATCACAGCTCCATCTGCTCTTTTTCCTGAAGAGATATGGAAAAGCAAAAAAAGTACTTAGGGTGCTCTTTTGCCTGAAGCATTTGACACACATATTTGACATCAGCAGGGCAATAGCATCTTGCAGGAGACAAGCAGAACAACTTGCACTGAATAACCTGAGCCCAGTACTAATTTTCTCTTTTCTCTCTCCTTGTAGGGATCCTGTTTACGATGCTGGTATTTGGACCAGCCTGTGGATTTATCTTGGGCTCCTTCTGTACCAAAATCTATGTGGATGCTGTCTTCATTGACACAAGTAAGGAGAACTGAGTTTGGTTTAAAATCAGATACGATAATGTATCAACAGGACAAAAATGCTGATGCTTATAAGCAGGAAGCTATTTTTCTGTCTTTAGTGCCTCTTGCATGTATGGGTGACACTTCTAGAGGGGTTTTATGACTGGGATTCAAAGGATTTCAACTTGATCCCATAGATAAGAGATTCATAGTAGGCAAAATTTGTTCCTTTCCATGGGCTTTTCTTCTGCAAGATTGGTTTCATCCCAGCTCTTAGAGGACACCTTACAAGAACACTGTGGCAGGGCACACTGGCTAGCCATGCACATAGTCTTGCCAAGGGAGCTTTGTCCAAAGCACGGGATGAAGTGTGGAGAGCTTCCATCCCCAGGATGTGGGAAGTCCATCCAGGCCCTCTGATGGAGGCACATCAGTAAGACCCGTGCCTGGCACCTTCTCCGAATGACCCAGTTAGGGGGGGACAGGTTCAGTTCCCCAGCATTATTGCTGTTCCCTAAAGCAGTGCTCATTGTTGCTCACCTTGGCTCTGCACTTGGGTTCAAGCAAGTTGTTTTCAAATTGTCTTTTTGTCCATTAAGAAAAAACCCTGCAAATTCTTTCATTGCTACCTGCACTACGAGCTCTTTGCCATCAGAGGGCAATGTGTGACAGGCTGTTCTCTGCTGCTCTCCGAGCCCTCTGGCTGTAGACTGCGATCCTCATGCTTTATTCTTTTCCCTCAGTTGTTCAGACGCTTTTTTCTACATTTCTCAGCTCCATTTGATCCCACAGGCTCTTATCCTGCCACAGGGGTGTTGTACCCCTTTGAGGGTGCATTCCACTTCTATGATGTTACAAATACATCTTCGCAGGATGTGTTCTGATGGAGTTGGACCTTGCAGCACTTGGAATAGAATTACACACATCGGGAAGAGAGCTAGTGCCTTATTTTGGTCTTCATGCACATGGAAGCTGAAGAATTCTAAATAATATGGAACAAGCAGGAAAGAAGTATCTTACTTGATGGCTGAGACTTTAGGCACAGTCAAACCCCACGTGGTCCCTTTTCAGTCCTTGGCTTTAGCAAAGATATGCTAAAGGCTCACTTGGTCCTGTGGGCAGAGGAGCTCATATTTACTTCAAGATAGGAATGTGCAGAAGAAGATATTTGTTCTGCCAGCAGGTGTAGCTGTGGAACTCTTCACCGTAGGGTATAAGAAGTCTACAAATGGGTTCAAAAACAGTTGGAGTAGTTTATAGAGGAAAAAATGAACATGACACCAGATCTAGCTCAGAAAGCCCCTGAGCCACAGATCACAAGAATAATATCAGGTATATGTTGACTTTATTCTCATGGATTTTCTGGGCATCTGCAGCTGGCGACCATCAGAGGCAATGCACTGACCTAGCTCAAAAGTTAACTTGATATGATCTGGCCATTCTTAACGTAAGGCACTGTTCCATATTTACAGCTCAAAAAGCCTCAGACGAATACAGAGCCACAGAGGAGGAGGGGGAAGCATTTTCTCTCAGAAGCCTGGAGAGTCTCTGTATCAGCATCTTACACGGAGGGATATAGTGCTTTCCAGCTGCAAATCCAGCTGGATTTGGCTGTGGTCCATCGCTGTCATTCAAAGGCTGGGGCACAGTTGGCCTCTGCCTATTTTTGTATGGGGAACAGTTTCCACATTGCAGCTGGTTCTGCTTTGCACGTCGGGATGGCATGAGGAGACCAAGCTCCAGAGGGTCCAACCCCATTTCAGGCCGCAGGTGCGGGGTGCCAGGGCACATTGCTATATAGCCCTCCATACAGGACCTGTTTAAGGAAGGCGGCTTTGGTTTATGTGGCTCTTCACATGGCTGTGTTCCCAAGAAGGTGAAAAAATGCACTTCAGGCAGGAGGAAAGAACAGCAGAAGAATCCAGTCCCTCCAAAGCACTATTTTTCACACTTTATATATATTTGAGAGCTGCGTGTTATTTTCCCTAAGGAGAAAAGAGTTTCCTCCCGTCTCTGCCTGAGAGACAACTTGATTGCTTCACTTGAGACAGATTTTTCAGAGTGGCGGTAACCAGACAGGCATCATGAATGGACGAGCTTGTTATTCCAGCCACGCGGACCTGGGTCTCCCATGGGATTCAGCTCCGGCCCTAGGCACCCTTCGCCAGAGCAGCTGTGGCAGCGAGGCAGCTCTTAGGAACATAGTTTCTTTCTCCTGCTGTTTATTTTTATACCCCCAGACTGAATCCAGAGCCTTCTTTTTCCTTATCTCCACTGAGTGATGGCCTACAGGATACTCTGGCTTTTAATTTTGCTGCTCTTCATTTTCTGATGATTTCTCTATCTTTCTGAGTTTGTTTGGTACAGTGGGTGGGTTTCTTTTCCAGTATTTAGGACTGTTTCACCCTCCACACAGTCACAGGTGCCCACAAAGCCCAAATGCCAACCTCTCCTTTGGTGTGAATTCAAAGCAGGGAGAGTATTGACCTCCTGGGGAAAAAGGGGTGAGCTGGGACGGAATGCAGTGTCCTTGTCTATGCTGCTGCATGTGGGTCTTTGTGCCAGCAGGTATGTCGGCTGTGTGTGCACAGTTGACACACTGTGACAGCAATGTCCAAACCATTGGTGCCAGCAGGGACACTTAATGATGTATGGCAGCTTCCTAGAGCTGGCAGAGACAGACATTGGAGAGAAGCTTTGATTATAGGGTGTTGCAGAAGATTGTACCACCTAGATAGGCAAGGTGATAGGTTGCTTGTCCCAAGGACCTTGTGGATGTGGAGGTCATTATGCACTGGTAGCTCGCAGGGAATGGGTACGGGATGCACCTACCCTGTGACTGGGACCCCCTTGCCAGCCAGCAAAGCCCCCAACAACCATCTTCCAGCCTACAGCATCATTAACACTGTCATATTGCCTTTCCCAAGGCCAAGCCTGACGTGTGTGTGGGTGTGTTTGCCCTTGCAGGTAAGCTGGACATAACCCCAGACGACCCTCGGTGGATCGGAGCATGGTGGGGAGGCTTCCTGCTGTGTGGTGCCTTACTCTTCTTCTCATCCCTGCCCATGTTCGGGTTCCCGCAGTCCTTGCCCCCACGGCCGGAGCACGCCGGGGAGAGCGAGCAGGCCATGCTTCCCGAGAGGGAATACGAGAGACCCAAGCCAAGCAATGGGGTCCTGCGGCACCCGCTGGATGGGGAGAGCAGCACAACCTGCTTCCAGCAGCTGCGAGGTGAGACCTTGGCTCTTGCTGTGTTTTCCATGAGAGTCAGCAACAGGATGGGTTTATAATTGGTCTTTGATTTGGGTTATCTACCTCTACCCTCCCCCCCAAAAATCCCCCCTAAAGCTTAGTACCCTGAAATCTCAGTCTGTAGCTTCTAATTATCTCTGGCATTGTCTTTATTTCAGAGAGACTTTGTTCCACTTGAAAGATTTGGGGTTTTTTAAACTACAAAGCTTCAGAAAAGCACGGTAGTCCTGTAGAGTTGATAAAAAAATGAAGGGGAACACAGTTGCTGGAGCAATTTGTGAACTTCTCTCCAGCCTACTCTCCTGCTTCCCTCTGCCTCCTGAAATGGAGAGAGAGCCAACAAGGACAGTTAAAAGAGATTGGAAGCTTCCAGCATCTGAGCTGCAGCTTATTCCAGTCCCACATACAAAGCAAGGAGTGCTGGCTACCACCACAGCTCTCAAACTGCAATGGGAAGAGGTAGATACCAGCCCAGAATAGCATCAAAGTGGCATGGCTTGTAGAAACCCCCATGATGTTTCCTGCAGAGATGGAAGTGGACCTGGTTCTACTTAAGATGAGCTAAGGATAAGCATTCTGTGAGAGAATGAGGGCAGATATCCCTTCTGTAGGCTGCAATGGAAATTCCTACATCTGAGAGGGTGGTTCTGTAGCACTGGTGGGTGCTTCCCACTCTCTGTCACTGTGGCAGAGGGAAGTTTCATTACTGCCTATCTCATTTAGATAAACGAGGACAAAAATCACTCCCTGTGCAGTTGCCTTAATTGGGAGTCATATGAGGTAGAAGGAAAAAGAGACTTTGGGGGAAAAAGAACGTGTTCTTAAATATAAAAGTGCCTTGAACAGTTGATGCGCTAGTTCATTAAGGGAAGGTCAAAGATGTGAAATCTTGACTTGATGGGAAGTTTCAAAAGAAAGGTCAAGGGATACATTGTTTGAAATACTGTCTTTAGAATTAATTTCTTCATCCTTTCATCCTAGTTTTTCTCAAGTTCAAGGAATGCGTTTTTCCCATGGTACCTCTGGATAATTGTGTGTCTTTTGTCATGGACTCATCAGAGCATCTGCTTCTGGCCCCATGTGTTTGGAACGGGCACTGGAAGTTTTTGTGGATATTCATACAGAAAAATGAAAGACTGTAGCATGTCTGTGCTGCATGGAGGGCAGTTCTGCCCGAGGATGGTGCTGAGCAAGCTGAGTTCCTTGCTCACAGAAAGGCTGTGGAGGGGTTCCTAGAGCATCTGTTGTTCACTCAAGTAGAGAAATTAAACTGCTTCACAGTATTGATTACATCAGGAAGTACCACAGTCTTCCATGTTAGCCTTCTCATTGCAGGTAACCCCATTTCAGATCAGTCAGTATTCCAGAAGTCTCTTTGTAGATGGACTTTGAAATGCAATTTATATCACATCAAATAACACAGGGAATGACCTTTTTAGTTATGCCTTTGAGACTGTCACAGATGACAGGGTGTTGGTAGCTGACGTCTCCTTTCAAGTCCCTTGCCACTGTTGTCACAGTTGGAATGTGGTCAAGAGTTGTGTTTGCTGCAGTGCCTGCCTGGAGATGTTCAGACATGTGCTGCAAGGGAAGGCAGATGCGCTCACTCGTTCCTGATGAGTCGTGTTTAAGGTGATGGGTTGTGTCTTGCCACGTGTATACATGATACATTGACCCATTGAGGAACCTGGTCTAGTGGAAGGTATCCCTGCCCATGGCAGGGGAGTTGGAAATGGATGAGCTTTAAGGTCCTTTCCAACCCAAACCATCCTGTGAGTCTGTGTTTATTTTGCCAGCAGCTGCAATGTGTTTATATATATGTGCTTCCTATTGTGGTGGGACATTGTAGCCTTACTCTGTTTGTTGATTGCACAAGGTTTCCTTTGGGGAAAGCTATGAACTGTTTGCACTTTTCCCCTAGGATAAAAAGAACTGGTAATTATTTACAGAGGTTAAATATATATATATATATATGTGCCTGCATAGTCATGTCTTCATTCATATTATGGGCTTTGGCGTTTGCAGGTTTTGTGAAGCTGAACAGTGGAAGGATGTACCTGTACATGAGGTTGGAGGTGGAAATGCTCTTTGGGGTTTGTGTGGCCATACCTCTGACTCCTTTGTAGGCAGTGTTGTCTCTGCAGCTCGGTCCTAGGCTGGTGTAAGGCCGTGTCTGCATGGAGGTGTGGATTGTCCACCTCCTACGCACAGTGTGAGGGGGAAAGGTTGTTTTTCTGGACTGATAGTTCAAACACACTTTATGTCAACAGTGCATCCCTAGAGGCTGACCTGGGTCTCCCTTTTGGCTGTTGAAGAGGTTTGATTGCTTTTTCTTTTGTTTTTTTCAAGCCTTGCAGCGACTGGTGCAAGCTAGTGGACATGGCAGGAGAGGGAGCAGGGTTGTGTTAGTGGGAGACATGCTGTCAGCTAGCGACATGGCATGGCTGGCATGTGGGAGGATGCTCGAGACACTACAGGATCTGCTGAGAGACAATGAAATGAAGGGCTGGGTGAGATTCCTTGGCTTTCTCTAGCCTTAGCATGCAGAAAAGCTAGAAATAGTATAAAAGCAATCTCCTGAAAGAGTCAAAGTCTTTTACATCTCTTTCAAGGTCTAAACAGGAGGGAGGGCCCAGCTTTTGGGAAGCCAGGGCATCTTCTCCTGACGGGTATTTTCATGGTGGGAAAAGAGGCATCACAAAGGGGAGCTTCAAACTTGAAATGAAATCCATGTCTTTGAGTGGCACAAGGTGAGGAGGCAATTAAAGGCAGCAAAGGCAGCATGTAACTGCCACAGCAGCTCTGCACAGGCAGGAAAGCTTTGGGATTGTCGTGGGAAGTGCTTACCATTGCTGAATGGGCATATGAACACTTTACCTGATTTGTATTTCAGTTAATTTGGGAGCACAGGGAAGTGAAGGATTAATAGCAGGGAGAGGACGGATAAATGCTGCCATTGCTCTTTGCTCTCACCTGGCAGCCTGGCAGGGTTGTTCCAGCCCTGCATCTCTGTATGTTCTGTGAAAGCACATCAGGCATGGACTGCAGCAGCCTTGCTGTCCTGGGGGCACAGCTCTGGTCTGCCTTGGGGACCTCGCTGCTGTTTGGGGCAAGAGACGATGCTTGGCTGTGTCAGGGCACCTGTGCCCTCTGCTTGTGTCTGTCCTGCCTTTGCCCTCTCACTCACTGTTAACACGCTGCCTCTAATCCACCACCTGCTCCAGGACGTGCTTGGAAATATTTTGTTCAAATCTTTCTTTTTCTCCCATACAGAAATGTCACTTCTGCTGAATTGAGTGGTCAATTCCATTGAAATTTGGTTTCAAAATGCTTCCTTGCCTTTATCTTTATCATCCCTGGAACACTCTGCTCTAAATGCATTTTGTTTTGCAATGATTTAAACCAGGAATTCATTACATTCTGCCTGCCTGTCTAGCAAGAGAGATTAAAAACCTGAAAGGATTCAAATTGATATGGAATCCTTCAGGTTCGGAGAGAGAAGCTCATTCAGAAGAAATTAAAAGAAAATTCAGTGTGGAACTAAATGAATTTCAAAACTGCAGATTCCCTAGATTTGGAAACATTTTGGGTTTTGTCCAGCTTCATTTCCAAGAGCGTAAGAGTTGCGATGTACAGCTGACAGCTGTCCTGTCTTCTGTTCAGTTCCTTCCTACTCTGGGTACCAATCTGCTTAATACCTAGCAAGGGAGTTGCTCTGAATCATGGATTTCTCTCCCCAGAAGTTCTCTCTGGGAGCAGACACGTAGCACAAAGCTCCCAGCTGTGCAGGGGGGTCCTGGGCCATGGAGAGCCCATAGTCCTTGGTGGAAGTTCATAGGATTGAGCAGGGTTAATGGCTAACATGAATACTTTCAAACTCATGACTAATGAGTGATAGTGACAACCTTTTGGAGAGGGCTCCTTCTGTGCTTTCATTCATGGCCGGAGAGGTGAGTCTTTGAGATCTAGAAGGGTACCAAGACCTTAATGCCTCTTTGGATTTGGGTCTTGGCTCCCTACCAGCGTCTAAAAGGCTTGCTAAGAGCTCCAAATCATAGGTAAGGGGATGGTAGGTGATCATAAAAGGCCCCACACCGGATCCTAACAGTCTCAGATTTTTTTGGCTTGGATTTCACAAAGGTGCAGGCTTTGTTGGCAGGTTCTTCTTGGTCATTTCAAGCATCCCTGTTACGAGAAGCTTTGATTAATTTAGAGAGGTCTTCAACCTGCACACTTCAGGGCAGAAGCTGAGCTGATGTCATTCAGAGTGTGTCTGTCTCCAGAAAGATACTGTGCCTTGCCATGACCTCCATGATGAGGGAGATTTATGGCCCCCTCTGAAGTTGAACAAAGGTGGTTGCTGGTGGCAAGATAATAGACTAGAAGGGCCTGCTTTCCATACCTGAGAATGTTAGTCTTGTATCGTGGTTTACGCTGAACCCAGGACATGTTGCTTCAGGCTTGTATCTGTCAAGAAGCCTCTTTGACATAGATGTCATCCTTTTCTTTCACATCCTTTGTGATACTAATTTTGTCAAGGCCATGTGGTCTTTGGCATATTCAACTCACCTTCAGCCTTACTTCACATTCTCTTTTATAGAAGCAGCCTCTTTTCAGGAGGTATTTTTGTCTTGCTGCTTGCACTATTTTCTTCATCCCTTATTCCTCAAGCCAGGAGGAGATATTTGCTTTTTGTTTTCTATTCAGATCTGAGACTTGCTACTTACGTTGCTATTAGAAAGTAATATTTTGGCTCAATACTACATTTCGGCTTTCCCTCACCATGCTGTCCTAGGTGGACTGGGCTGTAAACCCCCCTGTAATTTATTACTTTGCTTTCTGTATTCCTCATCTTTACTGCAAATTGAAAACATGTCTCTGTAGGGTGCTGCAACTGGAAAAAGGGGCCTTGGTGATTGTAATGTTCCAAACAATTCATTTCAAGCACCAACGTGATGATTATAGTTTGTTGTTTCTGGAGAGTAGTTAAACCTCATGTAATGAGGTTGCCAATTATCCCCGGTACTCCCTGATGTTTAGTGACAAATCAAAGCTACTTGGTTTACATAAGTGTGTTTGCTTGTCAAGCCTGTGGCCGGTCACCCATAGCTGGCCCCACAGCAGGAAACAGGGAGGATGCTTGATGCTTGGGGTGTTAAAAGGTGGGAAGTTGAGGGGTGTTGGAGAGCTTTCGGACATCTTCTTGGGTCCCCTCCAACCTGTGGATGATCCTGTGACCAGTGCTGCACATGAATGGTCTGAAGAGTTGGGTTTAAGTACTTTAGCGGTGAAAAGAGGCTGAGATTTCTCATTCTTCTCAGCGTATCTTGCCATCACAATGTGAATTGCTTTTCTGCCATCATTTCTGTGGCATATTGGGTGCAGTGGGTAAGGATGTTAAATGAGCTGGTCCTTCTGAGTGTGGGAGAGTGAGTCTTTCTGTGCATGTCTGCTACAGCTTATGGGTTCTCCAAGCAGATTTCTGAGACTCTTTTGAATCCAAAAGACCTTTCCCTTTTCCCATTCAGCAAACAGGCTTCGACCTCAGGTTTATATCTGCGAAGTGCTGCTGCAGTGTTCCATTAACCTTTGGGCCAGCAAGGTGCAGGATAACATTTATCATGACTTTTTCAGGGGTGGAGCACCGTGCTTGACTGTGCATTCTCCAGGGCTTTACTGTCCCCCATTAGACGTTTTCCATTCCCCCTTCATACCCAGCACCATATGCCAAGCAGCTGAAAGCACATCGCTCTGGTCTATTGAGAGATTTTTAAACTTCACTGATGACTTTTACTCTTGTTCCCAGAGGTATTTTACCCCAAGAACTGAGACAGATAAGGCAACAGCAGGTGTCAAATGATTCATCCTAACGAGTGGCAGTAGCAAGATGAAAGGATATTAATTTCTATGGGGAGCCTCCTGCCGTTCCACTTAGAAAATTAAAGAGATTGAGCTGGCCCTGGCTGAGATGATGATGGAGGGTGCCAAGTATTGCCTATGTTGCCTTTGCACTCTTTGCACTGGGTTTTATTTTATGCCCTCTAGCTGGGACAGAGCCCTGTTGCAGTAGATGGTGCTCAGACATGCAGTGGAGGACAGGATCTATCCCAGAAAACTCACTCCCAGATACACAGGGGGGAGAAGCAATGATAAAGTGATGGGACTCATGCCGAACACTGCCAGGTAAGGCAGTCACGAGGCCTCCTCTCTTGTCTGAGATGGTGCAATAGCTCTCCAAAATGTTCTCTGTCCATCCCCAAGGGCAAAGGATGGATTTTAACCTGGGTGATGAACGATGGTTGGGTATCAGCCTTGCCAGCTTCAGAAATAAATGTCCATGATCTTTAACTCCCTCCTGCAAAAGACAGGCTGTCCTTGTTATTGTTTGGTGGATAAAGTTAGAGGTAGACCTTTGTGTCTTTGCATTTGAATTGGCACAAAGCTACATCTCGAGGAATCCATCAATCTTGCACAAACTGTACTCCGGAGGCACAACAGGCATTAATACTTTAAATATGGCTTTTCACACTCAGTGCTGCCAAGTCCACCTTTGTATTTTCCCTCCTGGAAATTCTGGAGGTGGCCACCAAAGAACTGAAGGAGGCAGCAGGTGACTTCTGAGATCATCCACGTCTGAATCCCCCCACCTCCATTCCTCCCTCCCAGTATTTTCTTTTCTTTTCCTTTTTCTTTTTTTCCCCTGCTCTACTAAAAAGTCCTGTGCCTCCTGCACCTTCATTATGTTCAGCAAATCCTCAGGAAGCAAGGATTTTATACAGCGGGAAAATACCTTTGTGATGTAAAGAGAACAGAACCTGTGGAGTGGCCCCTTCCCAAAAGGTTATATCAAACCTAATTATAACCCTTTTTCCCCCCTTCTCCTCAAGAACCAAGGGGACCCAAGCAAAGCCTTGACAGAGAGCTGTGCATTCATTTGCTGAAGCCAGTGTAATTGGGTTTTGCACCACAAAAAAAGCCTTAAGGGAAAACAGGAGCCAAAACCAGAGAAATTTGTCATCTACCAGACCTTGGTACACCACAGGGGATGTGGGGGATGGATTTCAGAATGCAAATAGGGGTCCATTGAGGCTTCACTACACTTCAGCGAGGTAATTTTGAAACTTAATGATTTTCACATTTAATTCAGGGCGAAATTAGTCATCAGGTATTGAGACAAAGCAAGGCTCTCTTCTGTAGTGGGATGCTCTCCTCTTCAAGCTGTGTTATCTCAGCAATAATTAAAATGTTCGCTGAAGTAGAAAATGTGCTATCTGATTCATTAGCCAGATTTCCTTTTGTAAGGTAACTCATGTTTGATTATCGGAAATAGAGACAGGCTTGGAGAAGAGGACTCCGGACACTAATGATAATGGGAGGGAGGAGCCAGTGGGTCATGAAACTAAAGCAAGTGCGTGTGCATCTCAGTGAATAGCTCAGTGTGTCCTCTTCTGCCCTTGCAGCCACCAAGGCTGGTAGGGTCTGCATGGAAGATGTTGTTTGGCTGGTGAAGCTCTGGGTTATGGGAACACACAGGCTAACATGCATGTCCCAGACATGAGGTCCTTTATACCCATGGGTGACCCCAGGCTAAGCAGGAGAATTTCAGATTTCACCCCAGTGTGCTGAAAGAAGGTGTCCTTCAGCACACAAGCCAGGATTGTCTGGGAATATGAAAATGAAGCAAATCTGGATGGCAGGAGAAGGAAAGGCCAAGAGTGAGCTGCGTTAGCTTGTGTCTGAAAGCTGGTGCAGTGCTGAGCACAGTACTCATGACAACCTATCGGCTGGTTCAGCATTGTTCATGGGGAGCAGGTAGGGAAAGGAGAAGGCAAAAGAACACGAGGCTTTGATTGACTTCCCTATGAGCGGAACAAAAGCAATATTGGAAAACAGTCATCCTTCAAAATTTCAGCATCATCTGTAGGATGCAAACATAATGAGAGGTGATTTTGCACCCTTCTGGTATCATCTTTAGGTAGCGCTGTTCTGGTGCTTCACTCTGTTCTGATGTTGCCACATTTCAACCAGCTGGTCTGTGCAGAACAGCAAATTATCTCTGATTTGAAATCAGTTTGTCCTGCAGGAGAGCAGCAAGGTACCTCCAGCACCTCGAGCACAGCCTGTGCCAAAACACCTCTCGATTTTTCCTCTCTTCCAGTGATCCCCAAAGTAACTAAGCACTTGCTCTCCAATCCTGTCTTCACCTGCATCATCCTGGCAGCCTGCATGGAGATCGCGGTGGTGGCTGGCTTCGCCGCCTTCCTGGGAAAGTACCTGGAGCAGCAGTTCAACCTCACCACCTCATCTGCCAACCAGCTCCTGGGTGAGTCCCAACAGGAACCACCACATCTCTTCTGTTCAAAGGCATTTAAGTGTTCAGTATGGCTGGTAACCACAACCAGTCTCACTGCTTAGGCTGCCCTAAAAGTGACTTACCTAAGCAGGATCTTCATTCATCTTCTCCTGCTGATCATTCCCAATTCACACTGAGCTCCAATAGCTTCTGGTTTTGGCTTGGTTTTCCAAAAGAAACAATCCCCTGCAGTTTCCCCCAGTGACACAAGAACTCTCTGGTGAATTTTAATAGGATTTGACAGAAGGCCAGAGCTCTCAAAGATGTTCTATCTTCCATCTTTTCTGAGAATTAAAGGCTTTGCAAAGGAAAGCAGCTTCACCACTGACCCACTGTGAGAAGGAAAACCACCACACTGTGTGGTGGAAGATGCCCTAGCCAGTCAGTATGTGAGTAGAGCTGGATGCTCAGCAAGGATGGGTCACCGTGAGCCAGAGCACATCCTGCTTCTGATCTAGCAGTGAGAAGGGAGACTTTAATACATCCACAGTCCTCACAACTTATTTAATTTGAACAAAATTGAGACCAGATTTCCCACATGGTGTTTATGGGACTCCAGAAATGCCAGGGTTTGGATGCACTTCTAAGCTTAGCCCAGGCAGGTAAGGCCAGGCAGCAGAGGGAGAGAAGTGAACCCAGACAAGCTCAGTGTGATAATGCCTTCCTGGGCCTGGAAAGTGAGTCACTTCTGGCAGCGATTTTCCATTTCACAGTATGAGAAGATTCTTTAAGGGAGAATTCATATATTCAGTTGTGACTTTTGCCTGGTCTCTGAAGATCAGACTGCTGTGAAGTACACCCAGCAGGGCTCATGCAAAGCCTCTGGACAACATGCAAAATCCTTGGCTTTGTCTCCTAACTGTTGCAGGAAACATTGGAAGTGATGCTGCTTAGGTTAGGGTGGGCCAATCTCAGCAATGTCAGCATCTCACTCATATGGATGAGAACTGGAAGAAGATCTCAGTTTCGCCGTGCAAGGCAGCATAGCCATTTGCATCCATTACTCTCTTTTTAGGCAACCCCAGGTTGGTGCTATTCCAGCAGTTGGTCATTGCAAGGTTTCTCTGCAGTAAAGCACAGATCTCTTTGCTGAAAAGTAAAAAGCCTCTTTCCTCTTGCAGGGATGACAGCAATCCCGTGTGCCTGTCTGGGCATATTCCTGGGTGGCCTCTTGGTGAAGAAGCTCAGCCTGTCCGCTCTGGGAGCCATCAGGATGGCCATGCTGGTGAACCTGGTGTCCACAGCTTGCTACGTGTCTTTCCTCTTCCTGGGGTGCGACACAGGACCTGTGGCAGGGGTTACTGTTCCCTATGGAAACAAGTGAGTCCGCAGAGAACTTCAGGGTCTCACACAGCCTTGCCAATATAAATGGTTTGTTACTGTCCTCAACAGGCAGCCTTCAGGCACTGCTGGCCCTTAGTACCAATACAGAGCCATATAGAAGGTAATGTCACATAGGGCTCTTAGTCTGGGATATTTTCATGCCACTCCTCACTGTGAGAGCTGAGTACCTGCAGCTCACAATGAAGCTTTACTAAAATCAGTCAAACTGAATTAAAAGGTGCCAGACCCGATTCTGCGCCCATGGCCAGCTACATAGCATTGGGTGCACTGCACCATCTGGTTTCTCCTGGCAGTGAGGGACGTGCACTGCTTCATACATTTATTTAAGTGCCTGAGGAGAATTTGCAGAACCAGGTTTTGGATGCCTGGAAATTCAGATATGGTGAAGAGGGAGTACATGTGGCTCCAGGCTTTATTTAATGGGAGAAATGAGGAGGCACAGGGTGCCCTGTAGCATTCACAGGACTTGGAGAGAGTTATTCTGTGTTTTCTTTTCTGGTGCTCCTTAGTATGCAGCAATGATGTTTTAGAAGGTGACAGCTTCGTGCTCTCAGCTCCTTACTGTTGTAAAAAAATAGAGAGCAATCTCCACAGCATCTCTTTGGGTTTCCTTGGGGCTCCTCGTTGGGGTAACAAGGCAGCCCAAGCCTCACATTCGATTTCCTGCTGCAGAAGGATAGTGGCCATGGCGTTTCTGTCCCCAGGGAGAAGCTTTAGCCTGGGTTTCTTAAAGCTGGGAACCAGATAGCCTGCACTCTGCCTTTCATAAGCTGTTTGCCTTAGCTACCCCTCTTCAAAGCCAGCTTTGTGTGGCAACGATTGGAAAAGCTGGATGATATCATCACACTGCCCTTTAATTTCTCCTTATGTTTCTCTTCCAGCTCAACTCCAACCTCATCTCTGGACCCGTATTCCCCCTGCAATAACAACTGTGAATGCCAAACTGATTCCTTCACTCCAGTGTGTGGGGCAGACGGGGTCACATACTTATCTGCCTGCTTTGCTGGCTGCAGCAGCACGGTGAGTGGGCTTTCCTTAGGACCTTCAGGAACAGCTCTATGGGTGCGAGTGAGTGAGGTTAGTGTGCATCTGGTAGAGCAACTCATTTACAGCCAGCAGTGCTTGCACCCAAAAACACTTGACTCATGCATCAGATGGGCCTGAGCCACTGTCATTGTTTGCTCTGTTGCATAAATGCCTGCTGACTCTCATGGAGCAGATTGGCATTTCCCAACCTCCTCCTCCTCTGGTCTTTCGCCTCACTGCAGAAGCAAGGAACATGGTAGGAAATCTATACAGTTGTCCATTGGTAGAACCCAGATCCTCCGCAACAGCCCAGGCTGTGGGACCAACATGTGTCCAAATCCTGGTTTTATTCATCCTTGTTTAAGCTTTCCTTCCGCTCCTCTTGCTTTTCTCTCTTTCCCTGCTTTACTCTGAGGCAGCAGCAAGAGCAGGTGTCCAGGGAGCAGATTCCAACCAAAAACATTCTGCATTTTTCAGTTCTCCATATTTGGGAGTTTATTTCGTTTAGAAAACTCTTAAAGACCAAATCATCTCTGTGTAAAGTTGAGGGGAATTTTTAGCAATATCTTAAAAGCCTGCTTTTCCAGATTTTGCTGCCAAAATACTAATGTCTTCAGATTACACTGAAAATGAGTGCCTGCTGCTCCCATGGGTGGGAATTGGTGGTGTTCTGCGATCCTTGCTCCCTGTCAGGTCAGCCTGGTCTCAGGCTGACCTGCATTTGTGACTGCAGGGAAATCAGTACTCACCTCCACGGCTTCATCCTTCCCCTTTGAGGCAACATCAAACCTCCCTTCCTCCCCAAAAGAGACAAACCTCCCACGAGTGCCAATGAGCAGAGGTGCAGGCTTGCTCTAGAAAGTGCAGCCTCAGAGCCCAGGTGCCCTGGAGCTCAACCTGCTTAAAACTCATGTCAATTCCCACTCCATCCTCAGAGATGTAGGCTGCAATTCAAAATACCACAGTTTCCAAGTGCTTTCAGCATCCCCACAAGGGACTCCATGAGTGTGTGACACATGCAAAGGTGTTACCTCCTGCCCTCTTCCTCCTCCTCCTCCCAACAAGAGACAAGTCAACACCTGGGACCACAACACGATGCTTTTAACAAGAAGTCAGGAATAGTGTCACACCAGTTCACCAAGCCCTTAACAAGAATACAGCCGATGTGGTCCATGGCTGGAGGGCAGGAACAACCTCCTTGCTGTGCAGTTCAGGGCAAAGCTTTGGCTTCTCTGGAGGGAGAATAGTAATGAAAATTCAGCTCTGCCCCTTCAGTCTGCAGCTGCCTGTCCCTCGTGCTCTGCAAGAACAAACCTCTGAGCAAAAACCTCACTCTCCCTCACCGTCTCTTACTTATTCTTCCTTATTTTGCCTTTCCCTCATCATGGGGTTCTTTCGATTGCTTGGTTTTGTAGGGTTTTTTTTGCAGTAAGGTTTTGAACACAAATTAGTGAAGCAATAGCATCCTCTGGAAAAGGTGTTATCAGGAATTATGGACCAGTTTGGCCATGCAACAGCCCTGAGGCAAAGCCAAATTGCCAAACCAGGTTTTAAACTCATAATCCAGGTAATGATCTGCCTAGAGGGTCTTGTGAATGTTTTATGCTCGTGATGAGCCAAGGGTCGCTTTTTACTGGGACATAAAATTCTCTGAATGCTTTATTTAACTTTACTGCATTGGACATTTCTGACTACCTCTCTCCACTTTTCCTCTGTGAACAATTTCTAAAAGCAATGTGTAGCTCAGTTAGCTTTTTCTTTCTCTTTTCTTCTCTCTTCCTGAGCTGGTTGCAGAGGTCTACCTGTCCAGAAAGCCTTAGGCATATCAGTTCTGATAGGCAGAGTTCTGGCACCCTCAGGAATTTATCTTTTAAGCCATTCCTGGGAGTGACCCTTGTCTATGAAGCATTTGACTGTGCATCTAGTTTGTTTGATGCCACTGCTTCCCTCACCCTTTTTGGCTGGAGACTCATGAATTCCAGCCTGGCATTACTATGCTGGCATCTCACAGCTTTGCTCTGAAGTACCAGCTTGTCAGAGCCAGGGTTTAAAAGAATAAGTAATTAAAACCATGGGTGATTTGCATGGATAATTACTCCAAACTCAGGATGCTGTTAAAGGTGCAAACTCTGCATCTTCAGATGCACATAATAAATCCGGGTGTGCAAGCAGCTGGGCAGTGGAAGGCTGTGATAACGCATATTTGAATGCAGTGGGATTGCAGACAAGAGAATCTATAGCAATTTGGCACACGTAGCAAGAAGTTGCCTCTCCACAGGACAAAGGTAGACTCCATCTTTGATGTTTCCTTGTTTGATGTCTGTGAGTTGTAAGAGTGTGTCAGTAATAAAAGATCAAAGATCTCCCAGGTAAGGATGAGGCACAGCGCTAAGCAAGCAGATGTAGTTGGTACAAACTGATCGCACTGCTTTCGGCCAGCACCTTGGTGCAGAATGGTTGAAAAAGCAGATTGAGGGATAAGTTTTCAGGCAGTGGAGGTGAGGACCTGCCTCAAAAATCACACCAATGGGAGAAGAATATGCCCCACCACTTCCAGAAACAGGTACCTTCTCTTCACTGATGAGAGGAAATAAGCAGCCAGTTATGCATGTTTGCCAGGATGGGAACTTTGTCCCAGGATCTTTCAGTGCAGGTGTGTACTTTCCTGGACTTAGATGGCTTTTAATCCACCTGGTTGTGTCCAGATTGTTTGCTAGCAAAGCACTGCAGTAAAAGCCAGGAGCTACACATTCCTGTTGTCTGTGTGCAGACACCACTGCAGTGGTGCTAATTGTCACCATCTCGGAGCCTTCAGGTGGCAGCTTCTAACTCACAGCAGAGGAATTTGTTAACTATTGCTTGGCAGCCAGAAAGGCACCTGCATATCTCCTCCAGCTCTCCTGCAGTTCTGCACTGCAGTCTCTCTTGCCCTCTATGCACTTCTTCAGAAGAAAATCATTTGACTCCTATGCAGTAGAAAGGGATTGGTGTCAGAAAGGCTGGAGTGGTATCCCCGCGGATGCTTATCTTTAGAGGCGGTGAACCAGAAAGTGTGCTTTTTGTATGGTCCTAAGGGGACCCAGCAGAAAAGCAAAGGAGTTTCTGCTTGAATGTAGTGGGGAGGAAGAGGAGGAGATTTAGCTGTTTTTCAACATATTTTATTTTATGGCGTTACTCCTCTTACAAACCCAGCGGGCTGATGAAGACAAGCCATGAATCATTTATGATCCTTTCATTCTGTATTCATTAAGGGATTTCTTGGTAGTATTGTGTGCCTTAATTGTGCTGACATCCCACACTCAGAAATTCAGGAGGGCAAGTGGAAAATAAGACCAAAAAAAGAGAATTCCCTAAATCTGTGACTGGCAAACAAAGCTTCTTTTCACATCCTGCACTTACTGGAGAGATGAAAGCAAAATGCAGTCATTTCACCCTCCTTCTGATCACAGATTGATAAAGTTTATCTTGCCTGACTTCAGCTTTTAGCTCAACACAAATCCCTCTGAACCAGATGTCATTTATTAGCACTTGAGTCCAGCAGTGTCTGTACCATCAATCTGTGATAGTTCAGCTCTTGGTGAGCCACAGCCACCCATCGTGAGTGGCTCCTTCCCAGGATTCAGGGTGCTGGAAGCAGGCACCAAATGCACAGCCAAGAACAAGGCTGCAGATTTACCTGCTTTTAATGTACTCCAGTTTAATTGCAACAGCCAAGAGGATGGAGGTAAATAAGAAAGTAATTAGAACCATCATTTGGGGACCTTCCTTGTCACAGGGACACAGATCGTTTCTTTATTCTCCTCCAAAGAGGTATAACGTGGTAATAATTTTGTTGCAGTGACATTTATGGGAGAGACTTGAAAGGAGCAGAAGAAAAGAAACAAGCCAAGGGACAGCTTTCTTTTGCTGGTAGCATGCATCAGAGCTGATGGGCTTCTGAAATTATCTCCAAACCCCCGTCAAACAAGCACTTAGGAGTTACTTAACTGACCATTAGAGGATTCAGAGTTGCTGTTGCCAACAGAGCAGGGCAGGGGCTGGGGACCGTGGCTCTCCCTCATGCTGAACCCCTGTACTCCTTTGCAGAACCTCAGTGGCTGTTCCTGCCTCACCTCGGTCCCTGCTGAAAATGCCACCGTTGTTCCTGGCAAATGCCCCAGTCCTGGCTGCGAAGAGGCCTTCCTGACATTCCTCTGTGTGATGTGTGTGTGCAGCATGATCGGGGCCATGGCGCAGACACCGTCAGTCATCATACTCATCAGGTAGGACCGCAACCGGAGGAACCCATGAGCCTGATGGGGCTGCTCTCGGGGTGGGAACAGGGCTGGAGGGACCACGGGATGCTGCTGGGAGCTGCAAGGAGCTGAGGATCCCGCACAGCTCCTGGAGTCTGCCTTTCAGGCTGCACTGACTGTCCCCACATTCAGGAGTTTGAGCTGAACCTCCACGCAAGCCATCAGGAAATCCTCCTTTAACTAAGCATTCCCTGGTGAAAACACCTTCAAAGTGCTGCCTGTATTTTCAAAAGGAGCTATGGGCATAGGCTTTCTCCTACTTTCCTGCCTTTACCTGCAGGTGGGAGTTGGGGAAAGCCTGAGCAGTCCTCCTGGATTTCAACCCCATTGTTTCAAGTGTTAATTAAATCATTTTCTCTCTAAGCCATTGTTTCACTTGGTGGCACCTGGGTTTGTCCATGGCATGGCCCCACCAGGCTGCAGTACAGACCTGCTAGAGAGAATACAGGAATTGCTTGGTACAACTTTGGTAAAATGGGAGTGCTGAAAAACTGGGCTTGCAAACAGAAGATCCCTGCAGGGATGCTGCACAGAAAGGTGGCAGGCTTGTTCTCACCAAGGCTGGGATTAGCATGGGAAGGGAAACACGGATGTGCAGTTTTCAGTGCAGGTAGTAAGGACATTACAACTGCATCAGGGAAGGGGTACCCCTTGTGATCAACACATAATGGCTTGATGAGATGCGTTTAGAGATGGTCTAGAGGTCATAGAAACCTTGGAAAAATGAAAGGCTCTGGCAAAATCTAGCTTTGGTCAATACCCTCCCTGGCCAGAGTTTAACTTCTCTCACCCTGGCCCAAGTCCAAGAACAGAAGGAACTTGTGAAAGTCTGAAGGACATCTCTGAGTTGATCCAATATGAATAGGTAGGCAAGGGTAGCTTACTCTAATAATTGACCTTGTGTTATTCCCAGACACATGGCACACTTCACCTTATGATATATGTATATATCTAACTCCCACGTTATCCAGCATTACTTGTCTGTCCAGACTGTCACTTACTTAGAATAATAACCAGAGGCATAAAGAGCAGATCCATTCTGCTGCCTGGAAAATTCCAATAAAATTAAATCAATAAGGTCTGTATTAGAAACACACTCTTGAGTGGATCTTGGACAGAACAGCTCTGTGAGGGCATGTCTCCCTGCAGGATACAAAATGAGATATTCCACCTCCTAGTTCGTTTCTCTCTTTGCATCTCCAGTAGCTGAAGGGAAATCAAATTTCTCATGATAAATATTGTGGCAAAAGTAATCTGAAGTTTGAAGAGTTCTTTGTTCAAGGGAGCTGCCAGCACCTGTAGGATCCTGCATGGAGACATTTTCATGTCAGCTTCAAATGAGATAAGCCAGTCACCAGCCAGAAAGAAGAATACAAGGGAATAAGAAAAGCAGAGGGAATATTAACAAAGCTCAGCTCACAGCTGTAGGGGATAAACAATTCACACATCCAAATTGCTCCACTGCCCTCAGAATCTCTGAGAGCTACTGAAATACACAGGGAAGAGCTCTTCACCATATATGACCTCATGATTTCTTGCAACTGCCATCTTGGATTGGTAAAAGAAAGCTTTGGCATATGAGCATGTCCCCAGTGTCAGCGGCAGTGACAAGTGGCATCAGCAGTTCCTATGTTTACTTTAAAAATGACTTTCAGTGTCTACAAATTAGGTGTCTCAGCAAGTCATTTATTCAGTGCTGTAGTCAGTGAGGAAAGGACATGTCGACAAGTGGCAACTTCTGCTCTGGCTTAAGGTATGGGGACTGACTTTGATCTTAAATACAAAGAGTGGATGAAAGGACACCACCACCGAGTAAAAATCCACTGTGAATATTTCACATGATAATCTATTTCTTTCCATAAGATAAACTTGAATACTCTTTTTTAAATCCATTTCCCACCCAACTGTAGAATCCTATTTGACCCAAGCCATTAACCACTGGAACATTTTTCCAAGGCTTTCTATTGAGCCTGGGCTTCTGCCTGAAAACTGTGCAGAAATTTCACCCAGAGGTCAGAGGCTTCATGCAGGAGTCATGGTATGGTGCGAGGTGGCTTGTGTAATGTGTGAGATGAGGGCAGGTAATAAGAATGGTCTTCTCTTAAAACCACGTGCTGTTTCTGGCTGGTTTATTGGTATTATCTGTATTCATACAGAAGACCACCACTGCCACTATGGATGCCACTAGCCGTGCTTCCTGAGGACCTCTGTAACCAGCTAATGGAAGAGGCAGCTCAGGCCTTTAGAGATCCCCCATGTGATGAATCTATTCATATGGGGATTGCTGTCCTGCTTTCCCATCCTTTATGTACTGTGGGAAATAAAATACTATTATAAGACTTAAGACCAAATTAATGATTTCTGAAATTCCAAAGGCTTTGCTGAGCCTACCCCAAGAGGATGACTTTAGCCAGTAACATCCTTGAGCTAAGCAAATTAGAAAGCCATGAATTATTTTTTAAAGCACCTTTGAAGGATAACACTAATGTGACAGAGTGGGTTCTGTTCATAGCAAAAGGCAGCACAACTGTTATCTTCCCAGCATAAAAAACATTTGCATGCTAAACTCACACCCATGAGAGCTAGTCTTGAGCATTTCCTCACTGGGAGGCTTGATTTAACAAGCTGATGGAACCTTTTGGTCCATCGTCCTCCCTTCCTTCTATTGTCCCCAGTGGTCTGAAAAGTTTCAGAGCAAAAAGCATCCTCTCCCTTCAGTTCTCAACATCCTGAGCCTTGAACGCATGATGGGGACCTTGTAAATAGTCATTTACTGGGGTGGGAGTTTCATTTTTCCCCAGCTGACAACAAGATTAGCTGCTGTTATTAATGACTTAGCTAAATGCCTGAACTTATCACTGATGCTGTTACTTTTTGGGGCTGTAGGCAGTTCAGGCGAAGGGAGAAGAAAAACCCCTTTAATGACTCTTTGAAGGGGTGGTGGTGGCATCCTGGCTGACAGCTCAGAATGGCCATGAGGTGCGTTAATCAAAGCGGAACACAAAGAATCAATTTCACTCTCTCCCTCCCTTCTCCCTACAGAACTGTGAGCCCCGAACTCAAGTCTTATGCTTTGGGGGTGCTTTTCCTGCTTCTCCGTTTGCTAGGTACGTGCAAACATTTCATGTCCTTCTCTCCCTTCCTTTCCTTTCTCACAGAAAGTGGTATTTTTTACATGTAAAGTGGATTTCTATGCCATGCAATGTTGTGGTTGACATGAGTGCTGTCTGACACAACGGGGTCTGAGGCCTTCCTATGAAGGATATGGCATCAGGGCTCCTGAAGGCACTTTTCCTGCCATTCGAATTGTGTTAATGGAAGCAAATGCAGTGTTGAATGAGAAATTACCGTTTCTGCCATGGTCCCACACAACCAGTTACTCTTCTATAGCTGTTATTAACATGTCAGCAGCTTGCAAAATTACTGCTGCATTGCATTTGCTGAAGTAGAGGGATATGTATTTTCATCCTCCTTTGAGGGACAGGACTGGTGTTACACGGTGTGTTTTGTCACATGGAATGTTTGCCCCTTCCTTCAGGTCTCTCAGCAAGGAAAACAGTAAAATGAGAAAGGCTGAGTCCTTGTATCCTCCTGTGGGTTAATATCCCATTAAAATGCATATGTCTGTTCCCATGGACCAGTATGTGCTTCTCATGTATGAATTTAAAGGAACACAACGATGTTTGCCTGCTGCTTCCTTCTGGGTGGAGTTTTTTCCCCTTTTGAAGAGATGGCTCCTGTTTTAAAGCTCCTATAGTTTAGCTTCTTAATCTCAATGATTCAGAGCAGAATCCTCTGATCCATCTCTGTGTGTTCATGTCATGCATGGAGTTTTTTGCATGTTGAAGGATGGGATTTACTTTTTTCCTGCAGGACACAGGCAGTACCTGCCCTGTATGGCCCTCCCCAGTCTCAAAGGAATGAGCTGGAGAGTCAAGTGCCATCTTTTAGGCTACAGCAAGACACTAGAAAGTATAGGACCAAAACTCTAGCAGTACCATACATTGTGAATAAGTGACCTCATTTATTTACTTCCTTTTTGTAACACCTTATTCCCATTAGCTGAAAGGGAAATGGTGGTCCCAGACCAGTTTACGATAAAACCAATTATATTTTCATTGCTTTTGGTGAAGTAGCTGCAGTCACAGATAACGTTCCATCAAGTAATCTTATTCAGAGCTCAGATAACTTGAAGGGAAGCTTCTGGGTTGACTTGGGTCATCTCTGGTTCAAGCCTTGTAAAGACAGCATTCTCTTTAGCTGCTGGTGCTGCTCTTGGGTTTTGGCCTGTCTTCAGTTCTCTCTGATTGAATGTGGAGTGTCAGCAGGCACGTGCGTGAGGAGGATGGCTGCAGGCTGTTGTTTCTAAGGGGGAAAGTACTTAAGGGGGTAGATTTTCTCTCTTTTTTCCTTTCAAAAGAGAGAACCCTCCTGAGATAGCAGCATCCTGAATTCCTCTAAACCCAGGCTCAGGCATGTACAAGTTGAATAGATATTTTGTTTTCTTCCAATAAAGAAGCCATAGTACGAATTTAAACTCAAATCTTTATATGTTGCTCTGTCACTAAGTAACTCCTGTGAAATAAGACAATGCATCCTGAAGAATAGCAGCTATGTAGATAGAACCCACAGAAAATGAAAAGAAAGGTACTTTTCAATATGAGCAAAGGTATCCAAATCTCGCCCTTAACAACCTGAGCTTCAAGAATAGATTCACTGATTTATTTTAAAAGCTTTTCAGTTCACCTTTAAGCTTTGACTTAAGAAGACAGTGATAATAGCTGCTTCTTGAACCAAAGGAGAGTATTAAATATAGGAGGTATGAGACCCGGAGGTGCAATTGCAGCTAATAGGTTTCAGTAAGACAGAAGCAGCTTTTTTATACAGCCCTACAGTTTCTGCACTGAAATATAAATATATATATATATACAGCAGAAATTTTTGCAACACTTTGCAGTAAGGGGTAAAACATGATTGAATCTCTTTAATATTCACTATAATAATATGAAACACGACTGAATTCTCCCAGTATCCTCCTGGATGTATTTTCTTATTGCACAGGAATTCTACTGTGAGAGGGCAGCATAATAGTGTCTTCATGTAAAAGTGTTTCTGCAGTTTCTCAGGGAATGCCACTGGAGCCAAAGTTTTGGAATAGAATTGTCAAAATGACAAAGAGTTTTAGATTAGTAAGACTTGAATCCTTTCTGGATGGTGTTCACCGTTCATCCTAACACAGCCTCTGCTTACCAGGGCACTTCTTTTTGGTTTTCCTACAAGCCCATATTGTTTGCCTCTCTTCTTCCAACGTGACAAAACTACAGTGTTTTGCTCTCAGAAGGACTTCCCAGTCTGCAGTGCAACCCCTCAGCTCCCTTGTCGCAGAGGGTCCAGGCACCAAGTCACTCCTGCGAGTCTCTTGTCCTTTTTGGTAAAAATGGCCTAAAACACTGTTTGCTGGAGGCTTTTCATACATTTTCCACATCCATGCCTGCATTCACACAGGAGTAGCTTTAGAGTTCAGTGAAAACAGGTCCTTCCTCAGGTCTTAATGAGGAGCAATTTCAAGGCCAAATTATCTTGCAAACCTGGAAAGCCAGCTGAAGCCAGCAGATGGGGATGATAGCTCTCTCTGAAGTTCACATCTCCAAAGCTTTGTATCAACATCTCTCTGCATGTTAACAAATAGGAGCTCATACCTCAAAATTATGATGAAAATGCCGTTTTCTCTTAGTCCACAAAGTGTGTGGCTGCTGCCTCCTCTGTCACTGCCACATCTGGATGTGATCCCTGAGGTGGCATCCAGCACGAGTGCATCACTGGGTACACAAACTGCATTCAGTAGCACAGGCTCTTTGCTTGTTCCTAGCGGGAGCCCAGCTGGATTTCTAAATACCTTGTTGAGCATGTGGTTGTCCACAGGTTTCAACAAATAAAACCCCTTCTTTTAACCAAGAAGCAGAACCAGCCCAGTCAGGAATTTCCAGCCGTTGAAGTAATGAACAGAGAACTGACACTGATGTTTTTCTCCAGAGCATATCCATATTTTGGATGTGATGACTGGAACTGGTGTTTCTGACAAAAAAAAATAAAATCATCTTGCTTTTGTATCATCTGGTTTTATTTACTACATTTGTGCTGTTAATGATTGGTTAAAATGAGTACCAAAAGCCCACATAGCCTTTCTTAACTCCCGCATCTATTAACATAAAGGCAGATCAAACAAAATCTGCAGAGTTTGTCACCAACAAAATAAGATCAAGAGATCTCAGTTCAGAAGGGAACAGTCAAGACAGCCAATTTATTTGTAGTCTTAGGATACATGTCATGAATGTCACTATTGTTCATGAAAAGCTGAAGGGAAGGTATCTTTTCTAAGCCTGGAAATCCAGGTTAATGATGAAACTGGATCCAAGATTAAACACTTTTCTGTCTAGAAACTGGAGTGCTTGTGGCTGTCTACACATTTATTTATAGAGTCTCAGGCATCACAGCACCTACAGATGCAGTGATATTGTCAAGGATATGTTGTGCCTACCTGCTGTTGGATTTCAGTAGATACGATGCTCTCTTTTGCTGCTGTGTTAACCCACAGAAGTGATTTTATCAATCAGGGCTCTTCCCAGGGTTTATCTGCTTCCAGCCTTCCCTGTAAATATAGCAGAAGAAAGAGAAATGGTTTACATTATGTAGAACATCCACATTTTCTTCCGAGTGCTGCACGCTTGGAGCATGTGTGCTGGCTGGGAACGTGGCTGTCCTAACCTCTGTCATGGTAATGAGAAACAGAGGCCTCTACAATGTCCCTGTGGGATGGGGAAAGTAGAGAAGAAAAACATTGCCTTTATTAGTTAAATGAGACTGGAGTGATTATTCTGCTCTAAGATTGCTGCTCTACTGCAAACTACGATTCAGAAACACTCACCAGTAGTTAGCTGAGGTGGCTGTGGGAGAATCCTGCTGTGATATTTCATTTGATGGTGCACTGAAATTTTCCTTTCTTTTCAGATTTAATCTTTGGCATCTATTAGAGGGCATTGTTTCTTTTCCTTAGGCCCAAAGAAAACCTTCTGCTGTGTTAGGGAAAGGTCCAAAACTAGATCTCAGTGCCCCAGCTGATTTCAGGCTCTGAACCGGAGTGCTGTGACATCCTTCAGGTGAAAACCCTGAAGTGCAGAATTACCAGCCTCTAAACAGAGAGCAAGCTGTAAGGCTGTCCTCCTCCTCCTCTTTCATTTACCCCTTCACTCAGTCTCATTAGGCAAATGAGAAGCTTAATAAAAGCCACTTAAACTTGAGTAAAATCCTTCCTGCATGTTGATATCAGCAGGAATCTCTTCCCTAGACATTGAGCCCAAGCTAAAAACTCATCCACAGACTTTGTTTAACTTGATTTAGAACTTCAGAAATTAGAATTACAGGCTGCAGCTGGGACCATTAACCTTGATAAAGTATCCTCTCTTTCCATTCACTGCAATCACGTCCTCTCTCTATCATAAGGATCATAAAAGCATGATTTGTCTCTCTTATTTTGACAGGTTTTATCCCACCTCCGCTCATCTTTGGGGCTGGAATTGACTCCACGTGTCTGTTTTGGAGCACGTTCTGTGGCGAGCAAGGAGCCTGCGCGCTGTACGACAACGTGGTCTATAGATACCTGTATGTTAGTATTGCTATAGCCCTGAAGTCTTTTGCATTCATCTTATATACCACCACCTGGCAGTGCTTGAGGAAAAACTATAAAAGATACATCAAGAACCATGAAGGTGGGCTCAGCACTAGTGAGTTCTTTGCCTCTACTCTCACCCTAGACAATCTGGGGCGGGACTCAGTGCCCCAAAAACAATCACATAGGACAAAATTTATCTATAACCTTGAAGACCATGAGTGGTGTGAAAATATGGAGTCTGTTTTATAGTGACTGTGGAGGGGTGAACTATATTAATAATACAAGGGTCCTTTTTAATAAAAACAAGAGGAGAGCACGAATGAAGAAACAACTGCAAAACAACGGCAACACAGGAAACTTTTGTCTTTTTCTCAAAGTCAGACCCAGCCAGGATTCTTGTGAACAGCATCTTTTAATGGGATCACTTGTGACATCCTGCGGGGTGATAGACAAAGCAGGGAGCTGCTGTGGCTGGATACCAGCCCCTTTGATGACAGTACAAGCTTCCAAGAAGAGCACCTGAAGAGGTTCATTGGAAAGCTCAGCGAATGGACAGGCTTGGGCACGAGGCATAGAGAAAGCAAGGTGGCAATGCGAGAATAGGTGTTGTGGTTGCAAGTGTGGTCCAGGGGTATGTGAAGCCCCACAGTGTGGGCTGAAGGGTTGGCTGGTCTGAGCTCTGTGATGGCAGAGGGAGCAGTGCTGGAGCCATTCCACGAGTCACACTCTGTCACCAGCCACGAGTCCACGATAAATACCTTGAAAGCTGCTGGAATCCTTCCCGGTGCCGAGCAGTGCTGTCAGAGGTATCCGAGTCCTTCCAGGCGAGGCTTATTCACAGATTGCAGCTTTGTGGTTGTCTGTGAATAGCTCTGCTTACATCTCTCAAACCCAGTAAAGTTCAAGACGTTTGCTCACACTTGCCAAACGTGCTGTCATTTTTAAAGGGGGTGAATTCCAAATACTCGGCTGTGCAGTCCTCTAATAAGATGGGGTTTTAAAAAGTTATTTTGCAATCTATGTTAACCCTTGAATCGCTGACGCTTTTCCATAGGGAGGATTTATTTATGCTACTTTGGGGAAGGATCCTGTTTTAATTCACCCAAACATGATGTGACTCAAGGGATTTGTTTAACCCTCTGCGTTTTTTATCCATACGCCTTCATTCTAATATGCTACCAAGCCAATGAAGACACATAATATGTTTTTAAAAACGAGAACAAATACACTGTGTCTCTATAAAAACAATTGTCAGTTGGAGAATTATAGATAATATGATGATTTACGTAATATAGGGTTTTTTTCATGTTCTATGTGACTCAGTGAATACACATATATATGTGGAGAGGCTGTTTATATTCTCTCCAGTTTTTAAAGATATATATATATCATTTGCAATCTAGAAATTGTGTGGTGGATGTTTTCTTTAAAGTGAGTGTGTGTGTGTGTGTGTGTGTGTGTGTGTGTACAAGATGAAAGGAATCCCAACCTTAATCCTGCAACCCTCACAACTGATTTTTTCACCTAAAAAATTCCACTGACTTCAGTGGAAGCCACGTGAAGAAGGTGGAATAATCTCCCCTCCTGGAGGCCACATTTTGCCATTAGCTGTTCACATAGGGTTCCTATGGAAGGCGGGGTTATGGGAGCAGAGGCTGGCCAGCATTGCACACCTCTGAAATTCTCATTGAGATTCTTAAGAGGCACCCATGCAGGAGGAGATTTGGCTTTGCTTTTGCAATGCAGTCTCACATAAGCCTGCAAAAATCAAGGGGAGGCTTTTATCTGATCTCAAGAAGCATGCGGTCAGGCTTATTTTGCATGCGTATTTTATTTTTCCAAAACATTCCTGCTGGGAAGCAATACAAATTCATTGCGTTTGATGAGTTTTCCCTAGGAACCAGACTCATTTCCAATGGACTAAATGTCAGAAGGGTTTTAAGGGTTAGCATCATCATCAAAAAGCTCCATTTTTGTTTGTATTTTAAAGCTGTTTTGAACCTACAGATGTTTGGAGCAGTAGCCTGGCATGGTGAACCGAATGCTGGGCATCACTTCCATGCATCTGGTGGAGGGGCTGATCTTCCCTAGGTTCTTGTCCATTGCTGGCAGTGGACATCCCAGAGTTGGCACAATTACAGAGGGTTGATAACTTCCTGCTCATGTTCAACACCTTTTTAGCAGACTTAGCTCTTACCTAGGCATTGAAACACAGGTGTGGGCTATCAAACTGCTTCCACTTGACTGACTTTATGTGTATGTTTGTAGTTTATGCACAGCATTGTATGTTCAGCAACAACAAGAGCAAAAAAAAGGGGTGCATCAAATAAACTCCACTGTGCCAAATACTTGACAAATATTGTAACTGCAGATATTTGAGTCTTGGTCTTCAGCCATGTTAAGAATCACTTGATTAATGAAGGAGTTTAAGTCAAGTTATTAAGCTATGCAGTGCCATTGTTATGTTGGGTGGTAAATGATGCTTTTTAGGCCATTAGATTAGTTTAGTATATCCTGTCTGCTAAAATAGAGATACTTCATCCATAAAACAATGAATTTACAAAAGGCACAGGGTGCATAACTGTCTCATAAAATATATATAATTGTCAAGTATAAGCCTTTGAAATTGTTATGTACAGTTCTTTTTGTTCTGGAAATTTATTACTCAGACTGCTGTCTTTTCAAATGTTAGCTCATAATTTTGTACTATACACACACATTCAGACTCAAACACAAATGTCAGAGAACAGAGCCTTTCTAAAAGCCTGATTGCTTGAAATTCTATAACCCCTTTCACAGTTTCAGGGTTTTTTTCCCCTCTGAAAGTCCAAGGTGAAGGAGAACAGCACGATGACATGATGCAAAACAAACTCCCAGTGCTCAAGAGCTGTGATTTGTCAGTATAGTCAAAAGTCCTCCTTGACTGGAGTTATAGAAAGAGGATTCCAGGGCACATAATGTTTTCATTTTTATTGATGTTTATTTCTTTCATTTAATCTTTTCTCTTAGCACACATGGGAGATGCAGTTGAATGGGGTTACTGATACTATTTTTACGCTGCAACTTAAAATTCCTGCGTGATTTTTGTTTTATTTCTTTTGATAATGCAACTCTTGAAGAGCTCTCTCTCCATCCCACTCTTTGTTTTTTTCTTTAAGGACATATCAGATGCCTGCATCACGAAGGGCTTTACTGTCAGTGCTTTGGTACAGATTCAAGAACACAGCTTTAGTTTAAAGAAAACAGACAGACCAAAACCTTCATCCATCCATCCCAGCAGGCTGCCTGCTTTTTCCTGATTTCAAGCCCACAAGCCATTGTCTGCAACACAGTTTTTGTTATAGAATAACAAAAATAAATCCTCAGACCCAATTTTGTTATAGAATAAGTCTCAGACATCCTCCAGCTTCCCAAATTGCAGAATGGGCCTTTGCCTGTCAGCACTTCGCTTCCATCCCGCAACTGCCTTAACCTTAACTTAAGGTCAAGGATGGAGTTAGAAAAATGCCCATTCCTGGGAACAGAAACAAGGGCATGATCTGAGCTATGGAGTCCACATCCAGTGTTGGGAATTTTTTTCTTCTCCCTATTCAGGGGCATTGAAATTCAGTTTTGTTGAGAGCTCAGTCTGTGCTGAAATGTTATTTTGACATTTCCAAGCTCTGTGTTCCCTGCATGGCTGTCTGCTAGGGAATGGCATAGTTGACAAAATAAACTACTTGACATTTAGCAGTCTCTATGGGATTGTCCAGTTGCCTTGCATGACTTCAGGTTGGGGTTTTCTTTGCCTCGCACAAATACCACCTTGGCGTAGCCCCAGTGGAATCAAAAGGGGACCCCAATCTAAAACTGGTGCAGATGACATTAGAATCAGTTTCTTTGCATCCTTGTTAACAAAGAGATGCATTTTCAGAACCTTCTTTTTATATACACTGAAATCATACCTTTTTCTGACTTTGCCCAGCACATCTTGGATGTATAGTGGGACAAAAAAGGCCATTGCTTGAATTATCTAGACAAAACTTCCATTCCTTAAGACAAAACTTCCATTCCTTAAGAATTCATCTAATAAGGGCCTCACAGTGCCATACCCCTGCAAGAGGCACTGAACTACTCAGTGCTGCTACTGTTAATCTCAGTTGTTCCTCAAGTTGCTAGGAAGGTGAAAAGGGAAAAATAGAGTGAAGGATTAGCTTCAATTAGCTGAGCTAATTATGCTTCAGAATTGAGCTGATGGTCAGCAGGCATTTGGAAAGTGATTGGAGTATTTCCAAATGGCTGAAATGTGTTGGCTTTTTGTTTTTTTTCCTTGGAAATAAAAATTAAGGGAATTGACGAAATTTGGATTCCCTCCTATCTCCATCAGAGTTTTATGTTCATCACATTGCTGTGGGAGGTGATGTACTTCAGGTTTACCTTTGTGTCTCAGTCAGGCACATATTTTTCCAGTAAATGAGGTCCTGGGAGACAGAAAAGCAACTCCTCATAACCAGCAGTTTCACTCCACAGCACACCCAAGACAACCTGGAGGCTACCAGCACTATGAAGCTTTAGCCCCCACGCCTGCCCCGGCTGTTGCTGCCACATGACTGTTTCTCACAGCTGGATGTGTTGGGATCAGTATTTTCTTAGACATGGACGATGCTGGTGTGATGTTTGTTTTATTCTTGGCAGGTGACATGAGGAATTGTCAGTACTAAAGACATACGAAAATGCTTCACTGGACTGACAAGGTAGCAGCTTTGTTCCTTCATTCACAAGGGTTTCCAGACTTATTCCCACTCTGCCATGCTCATCTATCTCCCTAATTTCACATGAGCTGTCTTTGCAGACAGAAGCATGTTTGTTGGTGTTCTCTCCGTAGATCTGATTAATGCCTGCAGAGGCTTTCTGTGCAGGGCAGAGCACCCCGAAATATAAGCAATAACACTAACCTGTTGCCATTTGCATTAGGAGTTTTTGCTTTTTTTACCTACATCTGTGTTCACCTGCTCCCATGCTGCTGCTGTGACTCACCTTTTTTGTTGGCAGCAATACCAGGAGACACGCAGCCCAGAGAGAACTGGTGTGAACACAGAGAGTGGTTTAAGATGGGCAATCGTGTGCTGGGAGCCTTTGGTATGAGACAGTCTCAGCTTCTGTTATCTGGTGGTTGAGGTTGATCCAAGGAGGAAAGGGGAAACCAGGACATTGTAGCTGAGACCCTGAAGGGATTAGCCACCCTTCCATCCTCCTGGATAGACCTACCTGCCCTACGTCCCTCAGACCCACGGTTTGTGAGCGTTACTTCCACACTGACCATCAGCTTCCTTTCTCCACATACAGTTCTTCCCCCCAGTGGCAAAGCACAGCTCAGCTCTACCAAGTCAACACAAGGTGTTCAGAGTTACTGGCATTTAAATTTGCTGCTGAAGGGGTGCCAGCAGGTCTCCCTTAGCATTACATATGCTCAAAATATTATAGTTTGTTCTGCTTTTAGACACTGAGTCTATTACTTCTAGGCTGCAAATGATGCTTTCTATCATTCCATTGACATTTCTAGCCAATCTGAGTCTTAATACAATTGCTTTGCTGAAAAATGGCCTTTCAGCAGTTGTTAGACATTAGGTACTTCTTTATTAACTAGTGATGGCAAGTAAAATCTTTGGCCATTGTGGGCTCCCTGAATCCAGTGGAGCAGAAGGAGGCTCTGTCTACTCAGAAGCAATACTGGTGTTTTCTTTGACAGAATATGAATATGGACTGCTTTTCTGTCAGCTTCTGTCTTGCCACAGCTGCTTGGCTATGAGCATCCCTCAGTCCCAAAAGGACACGGTGAATTCAGAAGAAGCCACATGGACAGTTGAATCCATTTAGATGGCTGCAAGAATGGGACTGTAGGATGCGTGCCGTGTATGTGCTGTTTCACTTGTCAGAACCTTGCTTCAGTCTCTATTTGTTTGATGAATGGCATGACTCCAGGGATGGGGTCTTCAGGGTACTAGGAATTTGTAAAATATCCCCCACTTTATTCAGATTAAGTGCAGCAGAGCCGACTGTCGCACCCTGGGAAGGAAAACATTAGCCATACCCTGACACTTTGTAGTGCTGGGCTTGTTCTGCATGAAGTTGGTGTCTGCAGATGGCAGAAAGCAATAAGAAACTTGTCAAGTCCAACTCAGCAAATAATTTACAGCGACTTCATAAGTGAATTTTCCTTCTTATTTCTTCCTTGTAATGGCTGAGAAAACCAAGGAAATGCCTCCAGTGGATTTGCAAGGTCATTCTTGCGCATCGTCTGTGGTCTGGAAGAGTTTGGAAAAGCTTCCTTATAATTCACACACCTTGGTTTGTTCTGGCTGGACATTGATATCATGGGGGATATTTCTGCTCCCCAAATTCCTTAGGCTGGAATTTTCTCATCTGTACAAATATTTAGTTCAAAACTGTGATTAAGAAATGAATAAGAGGGTCCTTGCTCAATGCCAGTGGGCGTAGCACCACTGGACGTACAGTGCTCCAGGACAGCCAAAGTGCTGGCTTCCAACTCGCAATCCTCTTTCCACAAATATCCTCTCATAGATGCTTGAAATTCGCTGCTTCTCCCAATGTTCGCACCAGTTAATGCATTCATTTGAGTAATTACTGAGAGCAAACACGAGAAGGGGATGAACCCAGACAAAACCAAATTGGTACTAAGGTGAAGCAGGTGGTGCGAATTTTATTTGCAGTGTTTGCACAGCTCTTAGATTGGAAGCAGAAACCTCTCGGGAATCAGAGTTGCATATGGCCTAACAGATCTTAGTTCTTCCCATTGAATTACCAGTTGATAGGACAGCAGAAGGCGTCTTCCCTGCCACGTATCTTAGCCCTTCAAAGCCCTTTCCTTTTGCAGTCTAGCGTCGCACAGATGTGCATTTGGCCCTCGGTGTAAACTGCATCTCTGTGCGATGTTTTTGGTGCCTCACAACTCTTAACTGTGTGAACTTGAAAGGAAGAAGTGACCCCAGTTCTTCACCCGCGATGCTTTCTGCCTGATGGGAGGATGAGGATCTCTCTTGAAGACTCACAGCTATTTTCCTAAGGTCTTACACGCACTGGGACCAAACCTGTGCTCTGTTGATTGTAGGTGGCCTATAAGCTGTGCTCAGAGGTCTGTAGCTTCTCTACAGCCCCCCATTGCCTTCAACTTGTTTTCAGTGCAAAGCATGGTAATGAGGCTACACATATCTGTCCCTGACAAATGCAAAGGGTTGCCAGTGGTCTGTGACCACCAAAGTTCATGAGTCTCCATGCTAGCACATGAAAGCAGCTCCCGATATCTGCTTTTGGGAGGGAGTCATCTCAGAGCAGGGTTCAGTGGAAAACAGCAGCGCTGGGAGCTCTTGGTTCACTTTGGTACCATGTCCGTAGGGAGAAGGGATGGGAATGGGAGCTGGGGAAGAGCTGTGACCTTTTAAAACCCATAGTGCCTACCACTGCAATGGAACGCTGTATTGTATTATATTATACGTGACTACCATGTAAATAAAGTACAATAAACGTGTTCATTAGGATTTTGATACAAGTTAAATGCAGTCTGCAGAAACTGTTTTTCCCTGCTGTATGTACTTATATCACATTCCAGGCATAGGGACATTTGGGGTCGTGTGAGCTAGAAATGCATAAATGGCATTAGAAGGGAAATGTTTGCAGTAAGACTGTTGTGAAATTCCTTTTGCCCTGTGTACATGAGACACAAGAACTATATGAAAACCAGCCAGAGTGGAGGGAGTGGGGGCAGCTCTTGGCTTGAAGTGGTTTGTGAGAAGAAGCAACAGTGCTGCCTAGCCAGTCCTTGGCCTTGCTTCCTTCATGATGGAGGGAAAGCAAAGTTCTGGTTTGGCTGATTCTTCTTTGCTTGTTTTATGGTGCAGAGGTGGATCAGCAGCATATGCCTTGCCTGTGTAACCTGGTTATTCTCACCCTTGAAATCCCTTAGCAGCAGCTACAGCTGAGCAAGCTTGAGAGCTCAGAATTCAAAGCAGATTGTGAAAGAGGTTCTGTTCTTAACTCAGTCAGCTGCCTCCTCTGTGCTCTGGCAAACTTTGAGGGGCTGGGTTTTTTTGGCTAATAAGAGTATTGGGGACTTACTTTGTTCCTCAAGTCATTCCCCTCCTCTATCCTAATAATCTGTAAAAACAGAACTAACACATTTCAGAGAGGCAGGTATGCCACGTGCCCTCCAAATTCTGATGCAACTCTTTAACTGGGTTGTTGTAAGAGTTTCTCAAGGCTTCAGCAGCTCAGGACTGCTCTGGCCAGTGTTTGAAGCAGGTTTGTGGTTGTAATCTTCCATCAGTGTGTGGAGGGTGCTTCCATACTGATTGTCTTGTTGGAGGAAGAAGACCACCCCATGCAGTTTGTCACTCCTATGTCTCAAAACTCCCCCACAGAACTCTGTGTAGGGCCCACAATATTGGAAGAGTATCTACCTGCCTCTGTAGCAGACCAGCCAGTGATATTTGTCCCATGTACCATTGCTGTTCTTCATAGCCGCCTGAGCAGGGCAGCATTTGTGGGTGGTGGTATGTGCAGAAGGTTCTTCTTGCATAGAACATCCCCACGGATGGTCTGTAGCAGTGTGTATGGGACCTGGATGAGCCCACATGCTTCTGCCTGTGCCTTGGGCTGTGGGTTCATCTTTTCCTACAGTGCCCAAGGGAAAGTGGTCCTAGGAAAGGTATTTGAAGTGTGCTGGTTTGACTGCTGGTCATTTTGCAAACGTTTGGCAGTGCTTCCAAAATAAACCAAAACCTGGTTTGGAAAAGGAAAAGTTTCACTGTACAATTGATATAAAAAAAAAAGGAAAAAAAAAAAGGAAAGAAAGAGAAGCCACATGCTCGATATATTTTGAGTACTGTGTTCTGTATTTTTGCAGCTTATATTTTCCAGATGAGCAGTTTAGAAATATGTGATGTGAAATACATACTGTAAGTTTGACTGTAAATGATATTAAAAGCACTATTTTCATTCTTCTCCTGTCTCACTGGATGATCTCTTTGATTCTCCCAGCTTGGCTGGTACTCTGTCTTCACAGAATTTCTTCAATTCCAGTAAAAGCAGAGTTAAGAGTTTGGGTTGGAATTTCAATGCTTGGAGCAACCTGATCTAGTTGAAGATTTCCCTGCTCATTGCAGGGGGGTTGGACTAGATAAGCTTTGAAGGTTCCTTCCAACCCAAACCAGCTATGATTCTGTGTTGAGGTTGGAAGCTTGCTGGAAACGACATGGGGCTGAATGTGTTCCTGTGCATATGCAGTGCCTTCAGAAGAGATGTCCTGGTGAAGAAGAGGTTGTGACAGAGATGGAAAGGCAGATTTTTGCTAAGTGCAAGAAGAGGTTTAATTAACGGTTGTAGAAAAGGAGAGGGGGAATGAGGACACCCTGATGGTTGCAGAATGGGGAAACTTGAACACCAGTAAGAGACTAACATGAGTATCTGCTCGGAGGGAGAATGAGTTGAGCAGTTAGGAAAAACGCTGGATGTCTCGTTGATGCCGAATGTGTCTGACGCTCTTTGTGTCAGTTCAGCTGTGGAGGGGGAAAATGAAAGAGCTTTTAGCTAAAATAGCAGCAGCTCAGTGAAGTGGCTGAGCCCTGCAAAGCACCCTGAGCCCCTGCAGCTGCTTCTGCTCTGAGAGCGGCAGAGGCTTCTCCCTTCATCTCCATCAAAGCACCCAGTGCTATGGGGTCAGGGCAGCAGAGCAGCACATCCGTGAGCATGTCATGATGCCCATCTCCACTTGTACTAGCTTCTGCGTTGGTCAGAATAGAAGTAACCATTTATGTGACCAATTATTTTTTAAATGTTTCGAATCTGTTGTATGAAAAGAATAATTTTCTCCCCACCCTCTACAAAATTATGCTTAATGAGGCAATTACGTTCAAACTGAGTTGAATATTCAGTTATTCCATGTTTGTTCCATTTTTTTTATGCTTCACTGTTCCACTTCCCCCTTCTGGAAGGCAGAGGGCAAAACAAGGATTAAAAGTTAGAAAAAAACCCTTCCATTTTACTGTGTACAGCTTGAATCCGGCCACTGTTGCTTTGAATTCACTTTCAAACAACAGAAGCTTTGAAGAATGGTTCAGAAGGAAGGAGTGAGGAAGGCTGGAAAAAAATGTTTTGCTAAATGTCAACAGTGAAGAATCTTCTATTTGTTTCATTTTATTACTTTCCCTTGGCCAAGCTACTGCTGGTGTTGGAGCTTGCGCAGAGTCACTATGAAGGCATCACTCCTCCATGCTCCACCGGCCATTCCTTGCAGGTCCCCCTCCATGTGTGTGCACACCAGCATACACCACACTCAGCTCTTCAGGCCTTCCCTTCAGCCCTCCTAGACCTTGCATTTTGCTGCTGCTTCCTCTGACAGAACCCAGTTAATTGGATATTTACAGAGCTGGACTCTGTTGTGGATGCAGGTTATTAACCTGGAAGGTATTACACCCAGTAAAGTTAATGTTTCAAGACTGGGAGGTTAATGTGTCAGTGCTCAGCCCTCCGTAATTAGCATCAGGGCCATGTGTGTGGCTGTGCTGTGAGCCCTGCTCTAATTAGAAAGGACTCACAGGTTGGTCACATCAACAGTATAAGTTTATCTGCCTCCTTTATCCCTCTCCTACTCATTTTCTCCTTGATGGCTCTGGGCTTTGGGTAAGTCTTGCTATGGTGCCGTTCCTAGGGAATGTGTGATCCTGCCAGTCTGCTTGTGGTATTCTGAGCCTGACCTTAGTCTAAGGCAGTATTTGGTGGTGATATCTGAGGAGCTCCAAACTGATAAGGTTGTTTATCTGGGAATGTGCTTAGCAAAAGTTCCTAGCTCTGCAACAAGTTTGCTCAGCTCTTGAAGCCTCAGGTGATCTTTATGGTGTCTCTGAACTGGCATGAAGTAGTTGTTAGGGATTGGAATGATTCATTTTAGTGTTATATTCTGGTGTTCTTGTGCTTGCAACCAGAGCACGCCCTAGATGTGCGCTTGCTGGAGTAAGGATCATGCAAAGAGCAACCTGGTGGTCAAGAGTGAGAATATTAGAAAAGAAAATGCATTGTTAGAGTTGTGAACTTTTGCACCACAAACCTTGTTTGAAGAGCCCTGCTCAGCCAGTTAGGGAAAACAGGTCTCATGTTGTTCATGGCAGGGTAACATTATTTGTCTCTTGTCTCCAGTTTCCCATCACTCCCGTGACAAATATGGGCCAGGCAAGAGCATAGGTTTGTGCCTTGACCAGGAACTGTCTTCAGAAAGCTGATTTCAGCTTATGTCCTGATTGACCCTAGCAGCCTTGAGTCACACCGTATCCTCACTGCAAATCCATAGAGGTCTCATTACCACAAGAAAGGGGCTGTTCTGCAAGAAGCTTACAAACAATACCTTCTGCTGTTGATCCCTCAGCTCTAGAGGGATGGATCCCGGCTCGGGTGGCTTGTACAAAGTAATGGGATCAGGCAGGTACTTTCAGCAAGCTGGAAGCCTGAAGACTTCTCTTTAAAATCTAGCTTTAAAACACCAGGTATGTTACTGTATCATGTTCCTGTGCCTTGGATATGAAGACATGTGTGCAATTTGCAGATACTTTGAGGCCTTCAACATGCTACCTAGCATTTTGTTATCATTGCACTGTTGGCCATCATGGCTTCCATAAGTGAGCTAAATTCCTCCCCATCCATTGCTCAAAAACGGCCTCATTGCTTTCTGTATGGCAAAGAACATTTTATGGCATGCAAGTATTAGGGAGACATACACATGGAGCTCAAGATGTACAGGTACCTGATGCGGGGCTGTTTTTGTCCAAGACAGGAGGAAAGTGCTCAGCACATTCACAGGTGATGCTGTTCTCTGTGAGCCATGCTGCAATAATACCTCTGTCCTTGATCTGAATGAGCCACAGCTGAGACAAAAGCTCTGTAGATTTTGATAGGAGAAGTGCTTGGGATCTGCACAAAAGATAACCAGATGAAGGCTGATAAATGTCTTGTCTTTTCAGCCTGCTTGGAAGAAGTGTTGCATGTTGGTTTTACAAGTCAACCTTCAGCAGCACAAGGTGGAACCTGTGTCCCCAGCAGGTGTCTACCTTATAATGTGGCAGATTTCAGCTCCTTCATGATGTGGCTATCGTCCTTCCACACAAACAGCTTTGAGTTGTGCTGGCATAGTGCAAAACTTAACTGCTAAATACATCTAGTCAGAATATTCCCCATGAGGAAAACTATTATTTCCTCAAAATTATGACTTTTTGTGGGAATATCTTTATTTCAGCAGCATTTCATTCAAATGGAATCCTATTAGAAATCATGAAATTATTTCTAATAAGTCACTGAGCTCACAGTGTCTTATTAGAATTGGATCATTTAGAGTATTCTTTGGGTAACTGTAGCTTGAATTGTATCAGCATATAAAATTTAATTAGAGTGTTTGGACTTTTATAAAAATGAAATGTTTTGATTGCCTTCAAGCAATCTTTTCTGCTTAACATTACACTTCTGTAATGTTCCCACTTCTGTGGCATCCTCAGAGTCAGTATTTTGCTCTATTTTGAAATATGAGTTCATAGAAACACTGGAATTTCTCACAGATGCTTCTTGCCACTCCAGACCCCCTGGTAAATGCTTCTAGTATGTGACCAGCCTGCTGGTTACTAGGACATAGGGGCAGACACTGCTGCTGTGAGGGAAACACAAGAGCACACAGTTCCCCAAGAGCAGGCCATGCTTTTGCCAGACAGCATGAGGATAAATCCTACTCCTAAGCAAGTAAAGCATTATCCATCACTCAGTTTCCTTTTTCCATTGATCCACTCTTTGAGAGAATAACTAACGTATTTAAAAATCAAAGCCAATGGTGCATTTTCCCTGTTAGCTTGAGACCAACATTCATTTTAAAATTGGCTTTGTGTCTGCTCTCGGGCAAATTTGAATCTCCCCACTGGTGCTCTCAGCAGGGGATGGGAAGATACTTCCAATAGCACAACGCTCGAGTTGGGCTCACCCTTGCACTGAGAGCACAGTGTTCAGGGGCAGAGCTTGCTCATGTCTCGCTGCCTTTGTGCACAGGCTGCAAAAGGCTACATAGCTATGGCCTATATCTTTCAGAATACAGATATCAAAGTCAGAGGATCCTTATTTTAGTGGTGAAAATCCGTTAAGGTGAAGGGCAGCTGTAGAAATCTGGTGGTTTCACTGGACTTGTTGATAGGGAAAAGCTGCTTGAGAGGAACAAGTGGAGATAAAGGGAGCTTGTTCCCCACCTGAGCTCCATGGGGCGCACTGACTGTCATTTATTAGTTCAGCACATGGACTTTGCTGGCTGCCACATGGCTTTTTGGCAGAGCCATTCCTCCACCTCTCAGGCGCTTTAGTCCATTAGTCGCCTCTCTGGCCCTAAATAGAAGGAATCTCAGCTTTTCATTAAAAGCCTTGAGCCTGGGATGATGATGCTGAGCAGAGGTCCCGTTTTTGCCTTTGGAGGATGGCCAGAAAGAATAAAACCAGTCTTATCAGAAAGTTAGGAAAATTTCTACTGAGAGGTGGGAGAGAAAATGGAATAAAGATTTTTATCTTATTCCCAGATGGACTCAGGATGGCAGTGAGGAGTGAACATGCCTCTAATGGCTGCAGGGTGGCCTGTGCAAAGTAAATAGGGGTCCTCAGGCTGCTTCCAGCAGGCAGGTGTAAAAATCTGGCAAATTCAGCAACCAGACATTCAGAAAGCTGGGAAATGCTCAGGCTGGAGTGGAGCTTTTCTCTTTTAAAGGTAATTTTGGGGATTAAACTTGTTAACATTTCAACCCTCGCTTCACATGCAAGAACAAAGGGAGCGCTCAATCTATGATATGATGCGATGATGATATTGTGGCAGCCCTTGGAGGACACTGAAAGCTACCTTTCCCCTTAGATTAATTAGGGATGCATTCACTTGAAATCCTGGAGCTCTCTTTCCTGCAAGCCTTGGGTGTATACAGAGCATATCTTCTCCATTCAGAACATGTACTAATTCCTCGCTGAAATCAGTGCTCATCCACTACTAACACCCACACAACTTTTAAATACCTCTGGAAAGGAGCAGAGCAACTTAAAAGATGCAGTTTTCCGGATGAAGCCAGAAGTCAGAACACAGCCCAGCCTTTGTTAGAATCACATTTGAACAAAACAGTGTTTGATTTTTATGGGTTTGTCTGATTTCTTCTCCCCCCACCACTATTGTGGAAACATGCTGCTGAACCACAAATGCTCATGGCAATGGGGAAGAGGGTGCTGAGCTGCAAACCGAAGCTTGCTCATCACAGGAATATTTTGCACAGCTGAAGATGAGGTTTGAGTGGACTCTCTTTGCCCTTGCAGCACATCTGATCTGTTTTCGCTGCGGGTCATAAAGCCTGGCGTGCCGAGGTTTTCAAGTGCTATTAGTTTATTGGCTTGTTAACAAAAAAAGGATTTTCTTTTACCCTTAAGGGTCTGATTTTCATTGAACCAGAGATGCCTTGGTGTAATTCTGATGGCAGAGGAGAAGCAGGTTAATAACATTTAGGATCTTTTCAGTAAATATTATTTGAACTGGTTGCTTTTTACCAGCTTTTCCCTGCTCTGCTGTTGCCATCATTGGAATTAGCCACTTGATTTTATTGTAGCTGTATTTTAATGTTGTCATCACTTGAGTTAAGGCTTTAGAAACAAGTAGAGCAGCAGCTGCCTTTTGGAGGCTTCATTCATAAGAAGGTGATGGTATCTGTATAATACATGTTTGTTTGGTTTTGCATCTGTAGCCCTATATAAAGCTGCAAATGGGAATGCAAGGGTGTATACAAAAGCCAGGAGAGATGAAACAAGTTAGGTATTAACTTAAGGTATTGTTAGAGCACAGCAGGGCCTCTGATAGCGGAAATGTGAGACAACAAAGTGGTACATCAGTTCATTAGTACATTTAGTTGTTAAACTGCTGCAATCAAAACTACTCTGCTGGCAGTGCTGCCTTCCACTGTGAATGGAGCAATTGTTAGAGATACCTGAAAAGGAGAGATGTGTTGTGTGGGTCAGGAAAAAAAGCTGCATGTTTCAGCAAAGGCAGGGAGAAAAATGTCCAGAGGAAAGTCTTTAGCAGTGTTTGTACCTTCCAGAAGGGCTGGAGTTTATAGGCAGCTCTTGATCCAGCTTTTGTGTGCTCACTTGGACTTTTCACAACACTACTTCTGCTGAAGACGTCTTTTGATGCTTAAAACGCAGTCTGGTCTGGCATCATTCACCTTTCATCTCTTCCAGTTTTCTAGTTAAGTGCAACGAAAGATGGAATGCACTGGGACGAAAAGTTTGGGGTTATTTTTGGGGAAAACAGTCTAAAAACTACTGCCTGCTTTCATTCATCACCTTTCTTATATGAGGGACAGAGCAAAGACCTTGTTGATTTCAGTAAGACATTTCTCTTAAAAGGTAACAACAACCTTTACAGCAGTCTGGGTTTTGATGGGACATCCTTTAGATCTAATGCACCGATATCTAACACCTTCCTTTCTTTAGAGAGTTGAAAATGAGTTTTTTGCCTTCTAGAAGCTCAGTATAACTAAAAAAACCATTGACTTCTCTGCTACAAGGTGTCTGCTTTTTCAAGATGAACTAAATGTGACAGATACTCCTCTAGTCCCAGGCAGTGCAGCATTAACCAT